CCCCCTTTTTTTTTCCCCCCAAAAAAAAAAATGTTTTAAAAAAAAACTATAAAAAAAAAAACTTTATCTTTTTTTCCAATTTCACAAAATAAATTGTCTTTTTTTACAACTTCTTTCCCAATCAACAAAAACCCAACCCCATTTGCAACCACGCGGGGGGGGGGGGGGGGGGGGGGGGGGAGTACTTGCCGCCGTTAGCGCCAGAGGCGCCCACTCACCGAAGAGCTTGTTTCCGGGGAGAGAGAGCTCCTGCAAGAAACGCAGCTTGCCCAGTTCCGGGGGGAGGCGGCCTGTGACCAGAAAAAAAAAAAAAGAGCAGGACGGGTCCCCGGCCGGGTACGGGTAAACGCGAGAGACAAGCTCAAGCAGCAGGCGCGTGATGCATGCATGGGACACTACAGTAGCACACACCAAGAAAACACGTCACCCACCCAGCGCGGCACGGCTCTGCGGCCAACCGCCTCCAGGGAGTTACCAAACAAGAAAGGTTCGGCGATACGTGAACGCTAGGTACACGTATCACAGACAGCGGCGCTACCCAATCCCAACCCAAAATAAAGACGCCCGACGCCCGTCTTCACAACCCGGGGCGTACGCTCATGCATGCGCTAGGCTAGACCATTGGCCACGCGTCCTCGAGAGGACGGAGCATTGTTCCCACAGGACTGATCACCGATCGCCAATCACCGATCGCCAATCGTTCCTTCGCAACCCTGTCATCTTCTTCAGCACTCTCCACATTTTCCCCTCGATCCCGTACTTGGACAATTGTTTCCACAGCCCATTTCTCCATACGGTATCGTATGCCTTTTTCACGTCCAGGACGAAGCAGTACGTCGGCTTTCCCGCCCTCTTTCTGCCTTGGATGATTCTCCCTACCGTGAATGTGGTCTACGCACCCCCTCTTCTTTCGGAAACCTGCCTGGCCCTCACTAATGCTACGTTCCTGGTGGGGGGGGTGGGGAGGCGGGGGCGACAAAACTCACCGTCCAAGTCGTTGGCCCCGAGGCAGATCTTGGTGACCATCCCGCCCTCCGTGGTGACGCCGTACAGGCACGACAGCGGGGTCTCGAGCAGGGTGTCCCAGCCCTCGTTGCACGCCCACTTCGGCCCGTTTGTGGACGAGTACAGGGCTTGCAGGGCTTGCTTATCCTGCCTCTCCGGCCTGGAGAAGAAAAAGGGCGGTTGGGACGGGGGGGGGGGGGGGGGGGGGGCAAAGGGGAAAAAAAACCAACTTTTTTTGGGGGGTTTCCACGGGAAAAAGGGCCCCAAAATAAATTTCCCCCCCCCCAAAAGGGAAAACCCCGGGGGGGCCCAAAAAAAACAAAAAAAACCCCCCCCCCCTCAGAAAAACTTTTTTTTTTTTTGGGGGCCGGGGCCCAAAAAAACCCCCGGCCCCAAAAACCCCAAAAAAAAAAAAGGGGGGGAACCGGGCGGGAAAAAACCAAATTTTTTTCCAAGGGGGGGCACCCCCCCCCCCCCCTTTCCGGGGCCCCCTGTCCCCGCCGGGTTTTTAGGGACCCCCCGGGGCCCCCCAAAAAAACCAATTTGCCCCTCCCCTTTTGGGAAAACCCGAAAGGGGGGGGGAAAAAAATTTTCGGCCCCTTTTTCGGCGGGGGGCCCCGGGGGGG